GTGCACCTCCATGTGGTGCTCCACGTTGTGCACCTCCATGTGGTGCTCCACGTTGTGCACCTCCGTGTGGTGCTTCACCTTGGGGTCCTCCATGTTGTGCACCTCCGTGTGGTGCTCCTCCTTGTCCAGCAAGTATGAGTTGCAGTAACTGTTGGTTTTGAGCAACCAGTTGCTGCATGGTCTCCAATATTTGTTGGGGATTCGGGGCTAAAGTATCCGGAACAGGGTTGATAGGCGGGGGAGCAACCTCCTCCTCTCGTGGAGGATTGTCTTCGTGTTGGTTCATGGATCGATTTGTGATCGCCATTAGTGAATGGACGTAATGTTCAGGAGTGAGAATTTTGTCGATTCCCACAGACGGCGCCAAACTGATGATGCACAAAAATGGTTTTGCACACCACCTGTCAAGTATAGATAATAAATGCAATGAAATCAACGAAAAAATTAAAGAAGACACAATTTATAGTGGTTCGGTCAATTCGACCTACGTCCACTCCTCAATGGCTTCAGTCGCCGGGTATTTTATTGATTCAAAGGTATGGAGAATGAAGATACAAGCTTTGAGAGGGGGAATGGAGAATCAAAGAAAATAATAATCTCCGATAGTCGGTTCGTCTTCTGTAAGTCTCTGATGGAGTGTGTCCTTCCTTCCCCAGATTAGAGCCATTTTATAGTAGATAAGAGATCATTCTTGTGGAGATCATGACATATCCTCAAGGCTTCTTTATCGCAGCTTAGAGATTATCTTTGGTGGAGATCACGACTTATCCTCAACGGAAGGAAGAGGTTGGGGAGCTCTTCATGAAACGTGGTCAAAGATTGGACCGTTTCCTTCCTTAAGACGGTGCAGATAAGCTTCCCGTGCTCTCCTCTTGGTGACGTGCTAAGCAAGAAGTCTAACCGGCCTCAAGCTTCCCGTGCTCTCCTCTTGGTGACGTGCTAAGCAAGAAGTCTAACCGGCCTCAAGCTTCCCGTGCTTCCTCTTGGTGACGTGCTAAGCAAGAAGTCTAACCGGCCTTGGTCTGTCTTGGACTTGGTGGATTCACAATGAGGTTGGGCTCCTCAACCGGGGTTGGGCTTTAATACATAAATTGGACTATTTGGGCTTAACCCATCAGCATTGTATCAATATTTGTTTAGCTTATATCTAATTTATTTATCGTGTATAACCGAGTTTTGTGTCAAAACGAATATACTCATCAGACGCATTTAATAAATAAATAGCAGGACAAACTTTGCTAAACTCATATTTATAATATTTCATGACACTGTTGTATTGAATTGATGAGTCAAGTTAAATAATTTTGGTTGAAAGATTAGTAAATGGAATAGTGGAGATCTAACTAACCCGCTTTAGGACATGAATATATACCCTAGTTCTGGTGTGGATGATCTGCTTTTGACTGGGCCACGAAAGGGATTAATTGAGGTGCGCGTTAACTGACTCAAACATCCTTGATTGTTGAACCAAAACACAAAAAAAAATGCAAGTTGCATTGAAGATATTATTAAACATATTGTGAGCAAAATAAAGATTAAAGAAGAAAGCTTCTCCACACTTTTTACCTTATGTCATAAATCTGATTTTTCATCGGACCGGGGAGAGATTAGTCGAGTTGGGGCTAAGTTGGCCTCGACACCCCGTCATCGTAATATCCCAAAAAAAAAAAAAGAAATCTGATTTTATATGGAGCAGTATTAAAGATGTATAGGCAGAAGTAGCATTGAAGATTCATTAATTGAAGTCATCTTAATTGTAGAATAATCATAACAACAACAAAGAAGACAGTTTCTGAGCTCTGTTGATCATAACATGGACAGATTATATAGATAGTCGGCACAAAGTTGATTTCTCATACAGATCATTCATAAACTTCCCAAAAACAGCATTATAGATCGACATATTCTGCTAGTATTTGGTACACAAACTTAAATACTTAAACTTTTTTCCATTCTTATTCAACATTTTTTTTTGGTCATACGGGGTTGCTTATCGTTTATGTGAAATTATTGATCGAGTATGAAAAATTTTATATTGCTTCCGTCTAATACTAGATCTAAGAAAAAAAAATTAATTCTTCTTCAATAAGGCCTAATGGTGGCTGGCTAGGGAAGATACTTGTAATTCCCGCACCTAACTTTTTATTCCTCAATCCTGACGGAACAGATAAAAGGATATGGTAAATTGTGAAAGAAAGAGGATCAGATCACTTTCGGTCATTGATTATGGATCCTGAGATCTATCCAGCCCAAAAGCAGATCCAAGTCCGAACTGTGACGCGGCCCATTACGCAAATTTGAAGAGATTTCGAGATGTTCAATGGGTGAAACAGTTATGTTTCCTTTTTATTCTGGCTAATTGTCGACCAGAGTAAGTTCAAAATTCAAATGGGAAGACTTGGTTCAGTACACCTAACAACATGTGTGTGTGTGTAGGGGGAGAGAGATAATGTAATGGTGCTGGAGCACCGCTATTCCACCCAAATTATAATCCAAATCTCATATTCCAAATAAAGTCTCCCGGCAAACAAACAGGGTGGAAAATTATGTATACCTAATCCTCCTTTTTTTTTTTTTTTTAACTATATTTTATATTAATTTTGCAATAATATAATAGTTGGTTGAAAAATACAAATATGTTATTCAAAAAATTAAATAGTGTTATTGAATTTTTAAATATAGTATATAACGAAACGCCGCCGCATTCGGTGGGAGCTGTTACTCTCTCGGAACGACAATGGCGGTGGTCAACATGCCCAGTCCCCAACTGGAACTAGTTATTCTACCTTTTCTTTTACAGTTACTCTGCTTCCCTATTTTCCTCTCAGTTCCCTCAAATCTCTCTCTCTCTCTCTCCACAAAAGAACAAGAGAAAAAACCCAAAATAAGCCGTCGAGATATACCTCAATCTCCACTGAACAAAGATAAGAAAATAGAAATCAAAAGTTCAAAACCAGTCACACCCCCCACAAAAAATCCAAAGACACACACAGTAATGGTAAAAAATCACCCTTTATTCCCCACTTCTTTCTCTCTCATTCTTCTTTTTCTCTCAACCACCCTTCTCATTCCCCGACCATAACGTCGCTATTTAGTATTCACCGCCATGTCACCACTCAAATCTTCAATTCTCGCCAAACCCATCACCATCACCGCCGCCACCCTGTTCTTCCTCCTCCTCACCACCACCACCACTACAGCCCAAGATTTCGATCTTGAATCCGAATGCACCAACAAATGGATCTACATCCGCCCCCTTCCACCCCAATTCAACGTCGACCCTTTATCCAACTGCTCAGAATACCCAATTTTCGACAACTTCTGCCCCTACGTTTCCAACCACGGACTCGGCCAAAAAACCCACAACAAATCTCACAGCTGGTACCGCACCGACCCTTTTATGCTCGAACTCGTCTTCCACCGTCGAATGCTCGAATACCCATGTCTAACCTTCGATCCCAATTCGGCCAACGCCATCTACATTCCTTACTATGCCGGCATAGATAGCCTTCGATACCTCTATGGACCTGAAGTCAATTCAAGTTTCGAACACGGGCTTGATTTATTTCAATATTTGTATCATTCCGATTCCCCGGAAATATGGAGGAAAAATTCCGGCCATGACCATTTTTTGGTGATGGCACGTCCAGCTTGGGACTTTAGCCAACCTTTATCTAATGATCCACCAATTTGGGGCACTTCATTTCTTGAATTGCCGGAGTTCTATAATGTTACTGCATTAACATTGGAAGCAAGAGCTTATCCATGGCAAGAACATGCAATTCCGTATCCAACTTCATTTCATCCTCCGAATATGGCTCTTTTTGAATCATGGGTGAGTAGGGTGAGGAGGTCTAGGCGCACTACATTGATGTTGTTTGCTGGTGGGGGTGGAATTTCGGCTAATCCGAACATAAGGAGAAGTATAAGATTAGAATGTGAGAATAGTACTAGCACGGATGTTAATGGTTGTGGGTATTCGGAATTGTGTGAGTTTGTGGATTGTTCTAATGGGGTATGTGAGCATGATCCAATTAGGTTCATGAGGCCAATGTTGCAGGCTAGTTTTTGTTTGCAGCCACCGGGGGATACACCGACTAGGCGTTCCACGTTTGATTCGATTCTTGCTGGATGTATACCAGTTTTCTTCGAGGAATTGTCAGCAAAAAAGCAGTATGGGTGGCATCTGCCGGAGGAGAAATATGAGGAGTTTTCGGTGTTTATTCCCAAAGAGGATGTGGTGTTTAAAGGGGTTAGCATTGTGGATGTGTTGATGAATATCCCAAGAGCTGAAGTTAGGAGGATGAGAGAGAAGGTTTTAGAGATGATGCCTAGAGTTATGTATAGAAAACATGGAAGTTCACTGGGTTTGAGTGCCAAAAAGGATGCATTTGATCTTGCAATAGAGGGTGTTCTAAAGAGGATCAGCTCTAGACTTAAAGAAGTTGCAGCTCAATAACTACTTGCATCCTTTTATCCTCCTTGTAGTAGTGATTACTTTTTACCCTTCTTTTCAGTATTTATTCATCAAGGATGCATAGAGATATTTTGAATCCACATTCCCTCTAGCAATAAATTATCTAAATATGGCAGTTTTGATGTGTTTTTGTCAGTTTTATATTAACTGTTCCATTGTTTATCGCCATTGGTATACGATACTTTTTATCAGGGTGTTGAAAGTTACTACAAAATAAACAGATTACAATGACCCTAACAACTTAGGATCAATCCCCATTTTTTAAGATTTAATTTAACCACATTGGGCTGTAATTGACATTTTTGAATAATTACTTGACAAATGAGCTATAATTACCCCTTATTTATGTGTAAATTTCATTATGGTTTCGATCCCGATACTGTAATCTGATCCATTGGTCATAGGATCCTGAGTCGTGACACAGGTAGGCAACATCCATTCAACACAACAATGCAAATAAGGGTGACACCCCGCACAATCATTGGTCTAAGTTGTGATTTAATGGAATGTAAATGCAAATGGTGCTGAATACAAAAAGTAGATTACAATAGAATTTATTACTGAAGAAAAAGAATAAAATTTTATTGAAGTTTCAAATTTTAACAATAACAATCTCAATAAACAAAAGGAAATTGAAGAAAACTATGCGATTGCAACCTCAAAATAACTGCATGACTCCTGAAATTAGAAGCAAGACAGAGAAAACAGCAGGATATAGGGATTCCTCTTCATTTTTCTGTACCTGATCATCGGGTACTATGGTTGTTTCATCCCCATCTAATGATAGCAGAACCCCATGTAAGACCAGCTCCAAAACCTGCAGCTGCTATAGTATGGCCTGACTGAACTTTCCCACTGCGGACAGCTTCATCCAATGCCAACGGAATGGATGCAGCACTTGTATTCCCATAATTTGCCAGATTGGAGATTACACGTTCTGATGGGACTTCTAAACGTGTTGCCACCGCATCAATGATCCTCTGATTGGCCTGCATATAACCAATTCCTTTCAGGTATTAGTGTAACATGTTCATATGAGAGATTTTAGGGGTCATTACGCATAGTGTGGTGAAGAATTCTTTAAGGGTGGCTAAGGAAACAATGCATGAGTCCTTGTGACACTTATATTAGAAACACATTGAAAGTAGTTTTCATAATAAATGTAAGGATGCTAATGGCATTATAACCGCATCAAAATGTTCAAAGGAAAACAAAAGGCAGCAGTAGTAGGAAAAAAGAGATCGGTGAGTACAGATAACATTCGATTGAGAGTGGATTTCACTTCAGAATCTGTCTGTATGTGTAATAAATGTAATGTAAGTCAGAACAAAGTTTTATCACTTTTGTAGATTTTGTCTCATACCTGATGGAGCAGTAACCAATCGATGTTAGATCCAGTTAGACCAGCCTTTTCTAGTGCAGCCTCAATCGACTGAGGCACAGCACGAACAGCAAAACGAAAGACCTCTTTACCATTCATCTGGATGCAGGAATAAGAGGCGCGCCTTGGAGGGAAGCCAAAGACTGAACCATTAGAACCCGTCGCACTATCCATTTCATCCTCCTTGACGGCAGCATTTAAGTGCCTACAAAAAAAGGTAGTTTTTGTCTCATTGACGTGAAAAATAACCCATAGAACCATTTTCTCAAGATCATTATGCATACCTCTGGCCATCACCATCACTATGCAAGTCAAAACCAAACAAACCATCCTCTTCACTATCACACGCCTGCACAATAGCTTTAATATCAACTATCTACATAACCACTACTTCCTAGCAACAAGAAGAGGTGTAGTTGACAAAAATTAGGGCCGAGGGGGTATAGAAGGTAGATTAGTTAAACTATCTAGTTATTAAGATAAGTGAGATTCATCCAATGGATGCTCTAGTGTGGTTTCCGAGTATAGGAAATTAACTTATAGAACAATACAAAGAATCAGCAGACAGCTTTTAAAGTGCTTATCCATTCTCAGTTTAGTCAAATATCCACTCGGACAAGTGGACAATGACTCTGTGGACTAGTTATGAATGCCATGGCTCAAGGACGCGGTATCAGCCATCAACTTGGAGAGCTCTGAGATATATCAGTCGCGGAGTCACCGCACGGTATCGAGTGATACGACTTAAATGAAAATGTTGAATATAACAAGATATTCAGGTCATACCGTTGTATCATAAAATTGTATCAGCAGATTCGGTGACAATAACTCAACAACTCAAAGATCGACTCGGATACAGTGCAAGATTCGGAGTTTATACGTATCATGTAACGGTATCATCTCGGAAGGTGCCGAGTCGGATACAACTCAGCCAACTCATATCAATATCGGCCGATACTTTGAACCATGATAAATGTTGTCCAAAAATGTTGTTCATCTCTTCGGGGTGGAAAAAATGCATACATTGCTATCACAGCATTTTTACCCCGAAAGGTGCTGTCATGGCATTTTTTAGAACAAAGAAATTACTAGTATATGTATAATTTGTCAAATGCTAACATATGCTTCTGAAAATCAAGTTTATAACCAGGACTAACGACGGCGTCCATGAACTAATGATGCATCTGAAAATCAAGTTATATGCCCACGACTAATGATGCATCTGAAAATCAACATATGCTACTTACAACATGCGAAAGTACGATAACGACCAAGTTAGAGTACTACTTAGCTGAAGGGGCACACAAACACCAACTCACAAGCATTATCCAAATGAATACCCTAACGCCCTTATTTAGAGAACTGGACACCAATAAATATGACTAAGTGATATTTCCAATGACAGAGATATGATCTCCTTCCCAGACAGCACAATTGAATGACCAAATAACAACTATACCTGTACAAGTACAGCACCAGCAGCATCACCAAAGAGAATACAGGTCCCTCTATCCGTCCAATCAACATAACGAGAAAGAGCATCAGCCCCAATCACAAGAACATTATTAAACCCGCCTCCTGCAATTTACAATAGCAGGGTTCAATTTTTATGACACTTGAAACAAATGCTATTTATTTGAAAATAAGCAACTCCGAAACCAGTAAAAAAATCTAATTGCAGCAAAGTAAAGGAATTTTTACCTTTAATATGGCAAGAAGCTGACACTAGGCCTAGCACAAACCCACTACAAGCAGCTGTAATATCATAAGCCAATGGATTTTTTTTGCAGCCCAGTGCCTTTTGTATCTGATAAATGTCAAGAAATATCAGGGAGGTGAACTATAAAGTAATTCAATTGATACATGTAGAACATGAATTACTTTAATAAGTCAGTAGTACTTTATACTAATTGGTAAAGGATTCAACGGATACATGAAGTATTGTTTACAAGATAACTCGATCAGTTCAGTGTTATAAAGACCCAAACCTCAGTCAAGAATCAGTCACCAACTGTATGCTCATATGATTATCAGTGCAAAGGCAAAACTACAAGCTGGTAAATAATGGCACAAAACCACAGCACATTCTCAAAGTAATAGCACAGCTAACTACAGTGTCTAAGCGCTGCTTTTACAAGGGAAAAATCTACATCTCGTAAAAGCAAAGCCAAAGTGTTTTAAACATATGTTCCGAGAAGAAATCATAGTCACAGCTCATATGGCTATGAAAGTTGCTGAGAATTCCAAATCCAGTGAGTATGGAAACTGAAATCAACTTTTTGAACATCCAAAGTCAAACAAGACAGCCAACTTGGTAATTGATCCAGATTTATCAGTCAACTCCCCAAGAATACAATATCAACTGCAACGCTCATTGTAGTACTCCAACAGTGTATACTTTTTCCTTTGAAGACGTGAAATATATGGTGCCCAATGCATCGACCTTCTTGCTAGTGCAATTTCAAGAAACCAGGTGTTCTTCAGAAAATTTATTGATGAATCCCATGCATCCTCAAACCATGCAGGAGACAAAATATTATTCCCATGATTACTTGGAAATTGTCAATAAACATATCTATGAGAGAATGCACGGACGCATTAATATATTGCTATTCTTTTTCATTTGTAATGACTGGATATATAAAAAACACACATACAAGCAGTTTATAAAAATTTATCTTCACAAGATATACTCACACACACGCCATGTTATAGTCTTGCGCCTATGAAAAGGTTACTGATTAACCATCAAAATTGCTATTTTATTATATTTAATGATTGGTTAATTGCATATTATTTAAGATTAAATATGTTAAATTTCTTGATTTTTTAATTTGATACTTTTTCTAATTGTTTGGTTTATTTTGCATGTAAATTCTTTGATTTAAAGTAATAACGAATAATGCAAGTGAAAAAATCACTAGAGGAAGAATCATAATTGATACGGATTGAAAAGTCAAGATTGAAATAGGAAGACTTGAAGACATGACAGCAATTTAATCCTTATAAGAGTCCAAGTTAGAAAAAAACTTATTTAGAGTTGGATTAGGAAAATATCCTAGAAGATAAGGATTTGACACATCTTTAGTATTTTGGTCATAACGTTTGACTCTGATATCCGATTTACTTGATTTTTGGGGGTTGAAAAGAAGACTTCAAGGACTACAAAAATATATTTCACAAAAATTTCGTGATTCAACCTCTAAATATGCAAAATCCAAGATCAAAGTCTGGACAGATTTTGTACCCGCGCCCCAAAGATTTTATCAACGGGATTTAACCTTACAAGATTTCTTTTTGGGAAAGGAATTCCTTCAAAGCCAACCTTATATCTTCTACCTATATTTAGGATTTATTTTTAGTATAAATAGGGGTTTTCATTTAAAGATTATTATTCTTTTTCCCATCTTTTTATTTTTTATTTTAGTTCGTCATGTCTAGCTAGAAGACTAAACTAGAGCTAGGGGAGAACCTTTCAATGAAGTACGGTAATGATATTAATTTTGATTTGAATGATTTATATTATTTTGTTAATTTAACTTCTGATCTGTTAGTAAAATTTTTACTCTGTAAAAATTCTTAAATTGTTGTGTCGTGTACATCGATTGCTTGAATTTCTCTACGAGTAAATAACTAGTTATTCTACGCTTGAGGTTATTATCATTATTTTATAAAATAATACAATTGGATGATTATTCAGGTTCCTGAATAATCTTTTGATTATAACTTTTGGATTTCTTACTTGATTTGTTACTTGAATTAACCGACATCTGATTCTTGTCTCAAGTTAAGATTTGAGGTTTTAATCATTATTGTATGAAATTGAGAGGGAGTATCTGATGTTCTAGTATTTTCAGTTATTTTTTTAAAAACCAAATTTATTGTTTTCTAAATTTTAAAATATCTACAACAATATTTTTTCAGAACAATTTTCTTTTATTTTTCTTTGTGTTCTAAGTTTTTCTCAATTCCTTGAGGGTTCGACCTCGATCTTCCGAGAATATATTACTTCGCTCAACCTGCGTTTGAGTTTACAATATTAAAGTTGAAGCGGTTACATTGATTACAATACACGGAACATCTTGTTCATATATGATTGAATACATTCATGTAGCTCATTGTCAAGATTTTTTAACTACCATGTTTGTGAATTCAAATTCGTTTGGGATAACATCATCCTATGCCTATACCTGAGGAGCGCTGCCAAATAGATCCTCTGGAGTCGATGTGCACAATAAAACTAGATCCACATCATCAGGATCTACTTCTGCCATCTGAAGAGATTTCTTTGCTGCCTCCACAGCCAGATCCATCAAGCTATCTTTCCCTGTAAAACAATACATCAGAACAACGCCATCCAGTTTTGGAATGAAATATACCCTTGGAAAGGAAACATCTGATAGCAAGTTTTGAAGGCCCAAATGTCCGGTTATGAATGTAATAGAAGCCACAAAGGATGATTCTGTCATTTATGATTACACACTAGAATTTGTTAAAATGCAATAAGAAAGCGAGGAATCTGCGGAACTAGCTTAACCTAAGGCTCAAGCACAAAAGTGTTGGCATGGGTTTTGGCCAGGTCAGCCCATCAAAGCTGGGAAGCTTCAGGTCACACAAAATTTAACAAGTAGATTATTGTGGTTCAGGCTAAAAACTTATCAGCTACCAGATTACCAAGTCTGCAAATATCAAAGTCCAAACCAGAAAAGTGGCCACCTACATGTACAATTGTACCCAAGCAAGTCCACCCACACAAGGTTAAATTTCATCTAAATATAAGCACTTTCCTTCATCTAACACTCACTTTATTTTACCTCTTTGCTTGAAACCAAGCGCACGATGAGTTACTAACAAGCAAAGCTACCTCAAATAGTACACCACCAGATTGATACTCAAGCATGCACTGCAAGGAAAATTGACCTGTAAGAACTCGTCGATTGCGAATTCCAGTGCGAACAGATATCCATTCATCAGAAGTTTCAACAACTTTTGCAAGATCATCATTGGAAACCTGGAGATTTGGTACAGCCGAGCCACAACCAACTAGTTTGCAGCCTTTACTTACGAGCCTGTAAAGATTCATTTTTGAAAATAGAATGGAAATAAATCTTTCAGATATCAAATTAAATTCTCATATGATGTGAATTCTCTTGAACCAAAAAAGAATCAAATTACCATGCCAATTTGCCATGCTACATTCATAATTAAAGTACACGAGTTTTTAAAAATAAATAATGGACAAAGTAGCAAACAACCGCAAAATAATAAATAAGATGTTATGCAGGAAGATAAAATATGAAATGCCTCTAAATGAAACTTATAAAAGTGGACCTGAAAAACAAACCTTTAACAAGGTATCAGAGCTCAAACAAGCTGCTCCAGAACAAAAATACCATTGTATTCACACATGCATATGTTGAAATATTCCTATATGTATAGATAATTCGATATCTGAAACATGTATATGGATCATAAAATTGCGAGTATAAAATATGCAATTACACCAAACCGCAAGCTTTAATCTTTGTATTAGCCAAAAATAAAGCCAAACCAGGAATGAATCTAGCTCAGTGATTGGTGTAAAACCACACATACAAGACCGGAAACCTAAAATGCTACTCTTAGTAGGTACGAATGAAATTAAAGAAACAAATTCTGTTGAGAAGTATGCACCTAAAATGCCAACAACAGAGATGCAAACCATTGACACATCATATCTATGAAAGGAGCCAATTACTGATCTTCAGGAAGAATAAAATCATGCATAACAGGAGAATCTAAGCAAGGTGCATAAGCTTCCTTAACTCCCAATAATAGTAAAAACAATACCAAATGATCTAAACATCAAACGCGTCAATCTGTCAGTAAGAATCCAATCCTTCAGAGGTCCATCTGTTCCATTCTTCCCCCTCTACACAACATAACACACGACTGGCTTCTTCCCAATCCTTTTCATCTTTTTTCAGCACACCCCCCTTTTTGACACCTAACACCTCTTTGACAACCTGGGCATGAGTCGCATGACCCCAAGCAAATCCTAACACAAACAGAATAAGGAACCATAGTCCCCAAAAGATCCCACAATTAAGAAGAGGTACTTTGCAGTCTCCTCCACCCCTTCGCATATATAACATCTTCTCCACCCCTTTGCCCATACAACATCAAATACCAGAATATCATCCCCTTGTTTTTTCAATTTAGCAACCATAATAGCCAATTTTAGGGCAGCCAAAAAAGGAGAATGACCACTTTACAATGGACCTTCACACAACAGTAACCAAATCATTTCCTTGCATATTTTTAGTGTCATTTGTGCTCTCTCTTTTGTCCTTCTCTCTCCACAGTATTCAAGTACCTATATTCACCGGCAATTTCAATGTATCCTTTGCTGTCAAAAGTTCAAACCGATGGTCTAGACAAATTGCCTTTTTCTCAAATTACAAAAAGCAAGTGTTTTACTTGAGAGCTATGCAACTAGTATGTCCACATAACTACGTTCCTAACATGAATACAGTGAGCTCTATCTATATGATTCCCCCAACTATGCAAGCCAGCATAATAAATTAGCATTCCACTATGGCAAAGACAAACTTCATGAGTCAACTTCCACTAGAGATGGACTCTAAAATGTCGTGTATGAATCATTTTGGTACTCGGTGCTCATGCAAGAGCAGGAAACACTATTCCTATAATTCTTTTTGCAACTTAGATGCTTAATCAGAGTGATATAGGGTTAACTAGCTGAAAAGGGCTCCAATGCAATCATAACTCGCAAAACAAACACCATCCCATTAGTCCAAATATCCTAGAAGGACTCAACATCGTAAATTTGCAATAAAATCGCCCCAATCAAAGTGCACCCAATTGAACAAATTTCAAAATATTTTCCAAGAGATGGAACAATTTTCATTTCAGCAGACACGGCTATCAAATTCAAATCCAATTGCATAAAAAACCCATTAACAAGATATCCTAAACTACCAGTATAGCTAAAGAAAACCCTTAGTTATCGACTAAAAGAAGAAAATGAGGAAATCACATAAAAGAACATACCTGGGTGCTCGAGATTCAAAAGTCGAAAGTTTCTCCGCACCTTCAATGGTGCTGGAGCAGAGTACCCTTTTAAAGATTCCCTCAGAGGAACAATTCCCCGATCGATATATGCCGATAGATGATGGATTAATCCTCTTTCTAAGACTTGGGACTGTAGGCGTAAAGAACCCAGATGCATTCGCCATTATAGAAAGAGAACGAAATTAAATATAGAGAAAACCTGAATAAAGAGAAAGAAGGAGAGAAGGTAGGATCTTTTAGCTTATTGATGAAATAAGAAGAATGTGAGAAGCGAATATAGAGCCCATGACAACTCAGCACATGTGCAGGTAGAGAAGCAATTAACAAAACAATAAATCAGAGGAAGAACTACAGAAAACACCGGCTAGTAGGCTTTTCACAGGCTGCGGAGGGTCCAAGATGAAAGCAATGGGCGATTATGCCAACCCAAATAGAGGAAACCCCAATGCAATTATGCATGCAGACACCTCTCTCACTCTCTATCTCTCTAGTTCAATGTGGTACTTCCTATGTGCTAAGTTGGTAACCAGGAGATTCACTTATGCACAGCTTCCCCATTTCCAAGGTTTGATTTTTGATACAAACTAAACCGTGTGCTTGTAGGGTGTGATGTATTGTTAGGGGGTGATGTATTCCATTGCGTTGAAATGACAAAATTTGCCCTCCATTGTGTTATGTGGTCGAAGGTCATTGGTAGATTTGAGGAGTACACTTAGGTATGTGAGTGTAGAGCAAAAGAACAAGAGTCCCCCCAACAGAAAATCAAAATGTATTATTGGTTTCTTCCAACTCTAATCTTTCTCTCAACAATAAAAGTTTGGTTGGTTTATGTAGTTGTTTATGTTGACTTTTAATTAGTGATTTATTTAAGGTTGTTTATTGCTTTCAGGTCCATGGATGAATGGACTTACATGTAAGGGAAATTGCAGTAACAACCTTTTAGAATATCAAAAATAAAAGGGAAAATTTTATTTTCAACCCCTCTAAATAAGTCTATCTGTAACGACACCCCCTGTCTTTTCTGAAATTTCACTGCACTTCCTTATAGTTTACGTGTCCTCTTCAACCAGACCCTCTACCGTAACCGGTCGTTACTGACCATCAGAAAAGTGTTGATGTCATACCAAAATTTTTATTAAATACCAATTTTACCCTTCTTATTTTCAATGACACCCTTGTTTCACCCTTCTCTCTCTCTCTCTCTCTCTCTCTCTCTCTCTCTCTCTCTCTCTCTCTCACGCCTCAACAACCCAATCGTTTAGCTGCAAAAACAATGTGGCAATGAACCCAAGCCGCTGGTCTTAGAATGAATCAGTGAAAAATAATGTAAAAAATAAAAAATTTAGTGCCATGAATCGCTAACACAATAAAAAATATTTTTAAAAAATCAGTGACATTGTACGCTTAAACATAATACAAGAAATTTTTTTTAAAAAAATCGATAACACCGTACTCTTAAACATAATATAAGGAAAAAATTCAAAATAATTTTAAAAACAAAAAAACATTGATGACTTCGTACGCTTAAATATAATATAAGAAAATAATTCAAAATATTTAAAAAAAAAAATTGGTGACACCATACACTTAAATATAATAGAAGGGAAAATTTTAAAATATTTTTTTAAAAAAAATCGGTCATATCATACACTTAAACATAATATAAGAAAAAAATTTAAAATAATTTTTTAAAAAAAATTAAAAAAAAAAAACCGATGACATTATATGCTTAAACATAATATAAGGAAAAAATTCAAAATAATTTTTTTTTAAATTTAAAAAAAAAATTGTGACACTATACACTTAAACATAATATAAGAAAAAAATTCAAAATAATTTTAAAAAAAAATTTAAAAAAACTAGTGACATTGTATGCTTAATCATAATATAAGAAAAAAAATCAAAATAATTTTTTAAAAAAATTAAAAAAATTGATGACATCACACGCTTAAACATAATATAAGGAAAAAATTTAAAATATTTTTTTTTTAAATTTAAAAAAAAATCGGTAATACCTTATACTTAAACATAATATAAGGAAAAAATTCAAAATAAATTTTTTATATGTGAACTCTACAAAAGAGAATTTTTTGTGACATTTTCCTTGCTTGTACCATTAGTGGATTTATACCAACAAATAATACCACTTGGTAGGTGATATTCATTAAAATCATGTACAAGGGATAAAAGTTATTGTACAAACCGGATTAGTATTATAACTCGAAAAATAATATTGCACATAAAATGCCAACCAAGCAAGGTAATAAGTGGGTAATAACTATTTATATAACTATTAACTCCATGCACAGTAAGAACCAAACAAGATAATAACTATTTATATATAGTTTAATGAAAAATAATTGGTGAATATGTAAATCTTTATAAAATTCATAGGTAAAAAGTGTGTATTCGTCACGTCTGTTAGCCGACCAACACTGACGAAGAAGGTTAGTGAAATTTCAAAAAAGATAAGGGATGTCGTTGAAGATAGATCTATTTAGAGGGGGTGTAGATAAATTTTTTCCAAAATAAAAGGGTACCCCTTCAATTTTCCAAATATATATTTGAAATCTCCCTATCAATTTTTGTTCGACAAAAGTGATAGATTTACTTTAATTGAACGAAAAAAATTAAAAAAAAAAAACTAATTTTTTTTTAACTTTATCAAATCATCTATACATGATAGCGCTGATGGTATCTCAAACGAGTATATTTTATGAACCATATGAGACTACAAATATATTTCAAAATCCAAAAAAGTATCCATGTATTTAAAGGTAACTACAAGAAGAGAACAATAGCATACTATACAAGGTTTTGGTAGGGTGAAAAATTAGAAGGTAATTGTATACGAGGCTTTTTTTTCTACAAGGTGTTCAGGATTGCGACAACTATTCTTAAATTCTAAGACCGGCCACCGTAGCTTGATAGCATGCATAATTTTTTTTGTTTATAGTTTTAACTTTATTTATGAAGGCAGAAGACATTATTTATATAAAATACTATTTGAATCTAATTTAGAAACCTAATAGAACACAATCATTAAACTAAAAGTATCTAGTGGTGGAGTCATGTTATGGCCCAAGTAGTGTCGGGCTGTGCATTAGGCGATTGCCTAAGGCCCCCAAATAAAAAAAAATGGGTTTTTTGGGTGTGGCCGTGGATATAATTTTTTAAATTTGTTTGAACAAAAGTGTATAGATAAGTTGTTTACTTTATTAAGTATAATTTTTATATAATTTTTTGTGTTTAGGTATAAAATTCAAATGAATTAAAAACATTTTTACCTAAACACCTCTCTTAAATTATGCAGTCATCATTGACAGTTATTTGAGACAACAAATATGCAAAAATTAATAATAGCAATGAAAGGTAAAATAGGGGCATTAATAATCAAAACCCTTCTTCTTCAACAACAGGATTCTATGGCAATGAAATTTGATTAGAATACCACAAATTATATGTGAATAAACATTGAAGTTTCCCTAAAAAAAAAAAAGAATTGGTCAAGATGTTTTATTAGATATTATGTATTGTTCATTGTTGGGATGTAAGGAAAAAAGAACTTCTTTGTTTTTTTTCTAATGGGTGTAACTATTTTTTAATGAGTGTAACTATTTTTTTAATTGTTGTTACTGTTTTTTAATAAGTGTAGTTATTTTTTTAATGGGTGTAACTATTTTTTAATGGATGTAACTATTTTTTTAATGGGTATAACAATCACAGTCTTGTACAATTGTTAAGGCGTGATGGTATAATGATGTCGCGATACTAAATGGTGCAACTATATAGTTTATGTAAACAACTGAGTGACAAATTGGATTGGTGTCATAATTTTGTATAATTATTTTGTGTAATTGTGTAGTTTATTAGAACGCATAAGTAACTGTTTGATATATTATAGGACAATTATAACTGATTGATGTAATTGATTAGTGTAATTGTGTTGTTGTAATATTAATATAAATAGAGTAAGAGAAAATAGGGAGAGAGAGAAAAAAAAAACTGTTAAAGAAAATATACTCATATTTTACCTCTCATTACTTGATTGTAGCCAAAATATATGGAAGGAATACAAAGGGTTTTAACCCATTAGCTATTTACTGAATGACAATATTGTCATTTTTTAAAAATATGCACTTTAGCTCAAATAAGTTTTTGTGTTGTATTTTTGCTCAAATAAGTCTAAAAAATTATACTAACTTCCAAATCACTCAAAAAAAATTAAGGCTCCAAATTTCCCATATTATTAGACTTAATTTTTGGGTTTAATTTGAGAATTTATTGCATTTTGCCCATTAAATTAATAATAGGCCAAGGGATGCTAATGTGCAGGAAAAGCTTAACGGGTTTTTGGTTAATTTAGAATGGAATGTGAGTCACCCACAAATGCAAGTTTTTCATAAAGCTAAAGTAGGGTCAGACCATTACATATTATCATAAATTTGGAGCCAAGTTTGAAGAAGATGTCATATATCTTTAAATTTGACACATTGTGGATGGGAGATGCTAAATGTGAGGAGATCGTCAAAAGAAGATGAGAAAAAAGGTTAAATAGTTTTGCGATGTCCACTATTATAAAGAGAATAGAAGAGTGTGCAAAGGAACTTAGAAGATGGCGCAAACAGAAGTTTGAAAATTATAGAAAAATTCTTACATAGTTAAATTTTGAATTAATTAATTTGTAGATGAAGGAAGCCTCGGTTGAAAAATTAAGGTGGGAAGCTGAGATTTGTGTTAAGATTGAAAAGATTAGGAGAAGAGAAGAACAATTCTGGAAACAGAGATCAAGAATCATTTAGCTAGAATCTAGAGACCAAAATACGATATTTTTTCATCTTATAACCATATAAAGAAAGCAAAGAAACAAAGTTATGAGATTGAAGACTGAAGACTGAAGATGATATCTGGCTAAAGGATGATGTGGAGCTAATTGATCACATTAAAGAATATTTCTAAAACTTATTCTCAATAGTGGGCCAGAGAGATTTTGAGGAAGTTCTAGCAATTGTGGAGTGCAAAGTGACAAATGAAATGAATCAACATTATGCGGATTCCCAATCAACATTATGTATGCTATGGCTCCGATGAAATGAATCGACAATAGATTCTTCAATCCTCTATTTTGGGGAGATCTAAAAATGAAGTTTTTGGATTTCTTCTTGAAAGGGCTCTGAAGAAAATGCAAGGATGAAAGAATCTAAGAAGTAAAAAGCTCAACAAATATGTCAAAAAATTTTGGTGGGGAGAAATGAGGAATCTGTTGAGAGCAATTGGATAAGATGGCAGAGGCTAAGGCAAGAAGGGCAATGGGCCTCAAGGACTTTTGGTTTTTTAATCAGGCACTTCTAGCAAAACAATGTTGGAAGCGGATTCAGAACCCCAACTAATTCTAGCCAAGACCATCATAGGTTTGGAATAGCTTGATTAAAGGGAAGGAATTATTGGAAAAGGACTTATATGACAAGTGATGGAAGGCAATCATATTAGGATATGGGAAGACAAGTGGATTCCCTCATTTTGCTAAGGATATGGCTTTACTAA